CCCCCCCCCACCCAAGCAAGAGACCCTACACTATTTCTGATAGCTGGCAGTCAGTCTCTTCTTGAAAGCTTCCAGGGATGAAGCTTCCACAATTTCCAAGGGCAACTTCTGTTCCATGGGAAAGATTGCTCTCACAGTCAGAAAATGTCTCCTTATTTCTAGGTTGAGTCTCTCCTTGATCAGTTTCCATCCATTATTCCTTGTCTGGCCTTTGGGGGTTTTGGAAAACAACTTGACCCCTTCCTCCTCTCTGTGGCAGCCCCTCCAATATTGGAAGGCTGCTCTCCTGTCTCCCCTGGTCCTTCTCTTCCCCAGACTAGCCAGGCCCATTTCCTGCAACCATTCGTCGTATGTTTGAGCCTCTAGTCCTGTCATCATCCTGGTTGCTTTTGAAGGCTTAATTATCAGTGGGCTCGTTTTTCAAAGGTATCTGACATCAAGGCCATTACCTCCTACCTTTTCCTAGGAGACATCGTCATTGTTGCCCAATGTTGGTATTTATCTAATTTGATATGGCAAAAATCAGATATGGTGAGGCAAAAGGAATCTTCCAACGGGCTTTCCTTAATCCTCTTTTTCCAATCTTGCTTTTATTTCATCTGCTTTCTTTCCAATGTTTGTTGGCTTGTTCAAGCAGGAAGTCTAAGGCTTTCCAACCATTTCTAAAAGGAGTTCTGGTGGCACAGCGGTTAGAATGCAGTATTACAAGGCTAACTCTGCCCGAAGTCTGAAGTTCGATCTTGACCAGCTCAAGGTTGACTCAGCCTTCCATCCTTCCGAGGTCAATAAAACGAGGACCCAGAATGTTGGGGGCAAGAGGCTGACTTTGCAAACCAGTTAGAGAGGGCTGTAAAGCACTATATAAGTCTGAGTGCTAGTGCTAAGTGGGAAGGAAGGAAGGAAGGAAGGAAGGAAGGAAGGAAGGAAGGAAGGAAGGAAGGAAGGAAGGGGTGCAGGAGGCCGATGAGGCCACGCCCACCCAGCAACTGAGCAGAGAACCCTTTCCTAAATTTTTTGAAGGCCATTCCTGCCCAGGATTGTATATATCCTCAGGTAGTTTTGCATTCAAGCATTTGTCTTCTGGGCATGAATGAAACTCAGAAAGACGCCCGTCTACAGAAACGGTTCTTTGGGCTGAAATTGTTGCAAGGAGCCCTCCGAAGGAATTGGCTTGATGACAGCAGAGTGGCTGGGCTCCTAATTTGAACATCCATCTTTGAATGCAGCAAGTTGTGCAGTCCCTAAACACAGCAAATTACTGTACTGAAGCTATAATCACCTTCTCCACACACTCCAGGGTTCTCTTTTAGTGCTCTTAATTGGATGATGAGCTCCATGGTGTCCCATCTCCTTCCCACCACTTTACTTCAATGCGTGGTGTTTTTTTTCTGTTGTTGGTTGTTGTTTTTTGCGACTTGAAGAATACCGCCGTTGGCTCCTTATGCTGTGTCTTAAAGAAATATCTACCTGCGGGCATGTGAAATATATGCACATCCACGGCAGACTATGCGTATATAAATCCCAAGGCAGAATCAATCTGACTAGTCAACATTCCGTATTCATCCTCTTCTTTTAATATCCCCATAATCCTTTGTGGGCAACTGAACAGAGTGTTTGAAGGACCAGATGCTCTTCCTGTCACCAGTGCGGAGTTTTGTTCTGCAAATATATTCTCGGTGACTTCAGAAGTACTTGTCTCGCGAAACCTTTTCCATGGAGGTTCTTCTAAACATATGACAGGAGCCGTTTCCAGTTAAGACCAGGGGTGGGCTTTCAAAATTTCGGCGATGTGTTCTCTGCCCGGTTGCTGGGTGGGTGTGTCCATGGTGGGCCTGGCCCAGACCCTTGATGGGGAACCTATGGTACGTGTGCCACAGGTGGCACACAGAGCCATTTGTGCAGGCATGCGAGCCCCAGCCAAACATACCTGCACTGCACTTCCGGTATTTCCGGAAAGCCCATTTTTCGGCCTCCCGGGGCTTCAGAGGCTTCCCTCGAGCCTCCAGGAGGATGAAAACAGGCCTCAAACAGGCCGAAAATCAGCTGGGAGATGCACACATGCGCAGTGCAGGTAAGGGGGCAGGGTGGGGATGTTGCGCGCATGTGCACGGGGGGGGGGGAGGCGCATTGCATTATGGGTGCCAACACACACACATGCTATTGTACTTTTGGCAACCACAACAAAAAAGATTTTCCATCGCTGGCCTAGATGGCCTCCTGCACCACAGTGGAGCGGGGGGGGGGGGCTTTTTGCCTTCCCCAAGCTCCGGAAGCTTTGTTCGAGCCTCCAGGAGGGCAAAATGGCCTCCCTGGGCTCCTTGGGAAGCCGGAAACAGGCCCATTTCCGGCCTTCCCGGAACTTACGGGTGGCCCCTTCCCCCCCCCCCTCTCCCTGAGCCTCTGTGCAGGCCCTGCACTTACCAAAATGGGCTGTGTGAAGACTCCGGGGAGGGGAGGGGTGGGGTGGGCATGGCCAGCCAGTGATGGGGTTTGGTGGTTTTCCGAACCAGCCCTAACTGGCGAATCCGTAGCAGACCACCCTTGGTTACAACTGTTTCTTGCAGGAACCTGGCGCTTCCTAAAGACCCATGGTGTAAAATAAATCACAGTTCCACGGATGTTGGCTTCCCAATCACCGTCGCAAGCTTTCAAAAGAACCCAGGTCTGCAGCAGTCCAGATAAGAAGGCGTAAATAAATAATAGCAATGTAATGAGGTAGCTGGTCGATGTTGCGTTAGCCTCAGCCACTTGGTAAAAGAGCATTTACTCTCAACGGCCATCCTTTGATCTTAATTTCTCCCCACCCACCCATACTAAACCCCTCTCTCCCCCCAGTCTCCATTCAGGGCTCTGCTCGATCGTGATGGAGTAACAAAAATTCACCTTCCAGATCGATATTTCTTCACTTCAGACGTTGTGATGGCCTGGAGAGGCAGTGGTGCATCTGCTCCCAAACTACATTACGGCGGAAGGAAACCAGAGCAGGGAGGGGAGGAGGCCAGCAAAATATGGAATCATTTCTGCATTAACAGATGGGACGTTGTGCAAATATTGATTCTTTCTTTCTTTCTTTCTTTCTTTCTTTCTTTCTTTCTTTCTTTCTTTTCTCTTTCCTCCTCCCCCTGTCCCCCTTTCCCTGCAGGAGCACTTCACACCGGAATGCAAGTTCAAAGAATCCGTTTTTGAAAACTATTACGTCACGTATTCTTCCATGATCTACCGGCAGATGCAATCGGGAAGAGGTTGGTACTTGGGCCTCAACAAAGAAGGCGAGGTCATGAAAGGGAATCATGTGAAGAAAAACAAGCCCGCTGCACATTTTCTTCCCAAACCGCTAAAAGGTAACACCCTTTGCAGGGCTGCTGGGGGTTTGCACGGGTTTCGGGAGAGCCCCTAGCTAAGATTCTGTGAAATTCGGAGAAACCCCCCAAATCCCACTCCTGGCTGGCCCTGCCCACCCGGCCCCTCCCTTCCCAGGAGTCCCCACGTGGCCTGTTTTGGATGCAGGTAAGTGCAGGGCACGCACAGAGACTCAAGGAGGGCAAAAATGCGGGCCTCCCGGAAGTTTGGAAGGGCCGGAAATGGGCCCGTTTCCAATTTCTAGAGAGCCTCCGGAGCCCGGGGAGGGCGAAGATGCCCCTCCCCCATGGTGCAGGAGGCTGGCTAGGCCACGCCCACCATGGCCACGCCCACCCAGCAACTGGCAGAGAACCCCTTGCTAAAAAAATTTGAAGCCCACCCCTGACCCTTTGGATATCCTCAGGTATTTGCAGAGGACTTTGAATACAATTTGTTTTTTCCCTCCTGCCATTTTGTTTCTCGGGGTGCTTGAGAATTCCTTTGGCATTTTTCTCTAGGGGGGCTTTGAGAGTTTATTAGAAGGTTGGCCTTTGTCTTCTGCTCCATCGAGTCTTGTTTATCTTTTGTTCTGTGTGTGTGTGTGTGTGTGTGTGTGTGTGTGTGTGTGTGTGCAAAATGAGTGAGTGGGGAGAAGGCCCAAATGGAAGCAACATCTAGCACACCTGTCTATGGAGACTCTCAGTCATCCAGGTCCTGGTTATCCCAAAGGTGCTTTTTTTCAAGAGGCAACTGGATTTCCTGGGTTTTTCTTTGAAGACGTTTAGCTTCTCATCCAAGAAGCTTCTTCGGCTCTGACTGGATGGTGGGGAAGGGAAGGATATGTACTCCTTGCAGACAGCTGGTCATTTGCAGTCTTTAAGAGAGTTGTTGAGATCAACAGCTCCAAGAAGGCTCCACACCCATTTGCACCACTCCGGTGAACCTGATGACGCAGATATTCCTCCGAGTGGCCTCAACATCTCTCCAAAAGGGTGCAAATGACCAGCTAACTGCAAGGAGTATATATCCTTCCATTCCCCACCATCCAGTCAGAGCTGAAGACGGTTCTTGGATGAGAAGCAAAATATCTTCAAAGAAAAAACAGGAAATCCAGCTGCCTCTTGAAAAAGGGCCTTTGGGATCTAACACACCTAGACAGAGCCAGGGTTGGAGAAGATGGATCCAGGGTTTGGATGCGGCGTGGTTGCTTCACGTTGATCCCCCATGTCTTCTATTTGCAAATTCCCCAGCAGTTAGCCCAAAATAAATGAATTTTCTAGAAAGTGTTGCTCCTCTCTTTTGTCCTCGGGGTGGATCTTGCACTAATATTCTTCTTGAATTCACATGAGCCAAACGCTGCGAATAGTCACATTTCTGGGCATATTTTCCTATCCTGTCTCCTCCTTAATGACTTCCAAGGGGTACTTCTAAGTCTTCCCTCCCATTTGAACTAGTGTTGGTATGCTACCGGTTCGGCCCGGTTCTGTGGAGCCGGTAGCGGCGATGAGCAGCGGAGACCAATCCGGTTCTCTCCACTGCTCTGCTGTTGGGCCTACCTTCCTGCCCGGGCTTCCACACTCACCTTTATCTTCCGCTTTTGAAGCGCAGCTGCTTTGCGCAGCATAGAATAGCACTGCGCGGCAGCTGCTGAAGTGACCGGGATCATGCAGGCTTGCAGGAGGTGAGTTGGAATGCCTCTGCACTTGCACAAAGTCCGTGTTTGTTGCACAATTTGCGTGCATGCACACAAAACTGGCCCACCAAGCCACACCCACTGAACCAGTGGCAATCCCACCACTGATTTGAACCCCTTGCGGAAGGCTAGGTCAAGAAACTTTAGTTGACCCAAGATCCGTTGAGTAGCCATCAGGTTGAGCTTCCCCCCTCTTCTGGTTGAGGAACAATCTCCTGGAAGTCAGTTCCTGGATAAACTTAGAAACCTAGACTCATGGGGGGTTGGAAGGGATCTCTCTGGAGATCTTCTAGCCCAACTTCCTGTTCAAGCAGGAGATCCGTCTGTGATTCTTCTCTGACTTTCCTTTCTCCTCCTTCCAACCAGTGGCCATGTACAAAGAACCTTCCCTCCACGACCTTACTGAATTCTCACGGTCTGGTAGTGGAACCCCAACGAAAAGCAGAAGCGTCTCCGGAGCTTTGAATGGCGGCAAATCTATGAGCCAAAACGAATCCACGTAGCCGGGACGGTGAAAGGAAGAGGCGGAGGAGGAGCATCGGTGGAACTTTTGAACCTCTAGGACCTGCCGTGGAATCCTTATTTTTTGCGAAACCTACCGTTCAGCCCTTCCCGACAAAGCCAACAAACTGGGATAGGCCTCTCGGGCCTTTTATCAGCTACTTTGGACTTTCCGGAGGTCCCCAAATCATTCATAAATGATTCGTGTCGAAGAAATGATTTGATTTCACCTCCCTCCCCATTGGTATAAAATGCGCTTGTGCAAACATGGGCCTAGCCAGGCAAACATGAAGCTATGACCTCACATTGAGCCTGCCGTTACTTCTTATCTTCACCGACGGTCTTGCGGAGAAAAAAATTTAAAAAAAAAAATCCTGCAAAATTTAAAAACACCCTTGGCTTTCTAACTGAGACAGAAACCCTGTCAAAGATCTTTCTTTCTTTCTTTCTTTCTTTCTTTCTTTCTTTCTTTCTTTCTTTCTTTCTTTCTTTCTTTCTTTCTTTCTTTCTTTCTCTCTCTCTCTCTCTCTCTCTCTTTCTTTCTTTCTTGCTTGCTTTTTTTCTCTCTTTCTTTCTTTCTTTCCTTCCTTCTTTCTTGCTTTCTTTCTCTCTTTCTTTCTTTCTTTCTTTCTTTCTTTCTTTCTTTCTTTCTTTCTTTCTTTCTTTCTTTCTTTCTCTTTCCTTTGCTCTTTGAGGGAAATTTCAATATTTAGTGTTTTATATATGAATGGTTCGGAGTGGGGACTCTGTATACCCTCTGCTTTTTTTTTTCCACCTTGCCATTTTATATATCATAAAACTTGGTCAGGAAAAGAAATCTGAATATCTCTCTCTCTCTTTTTTTTTTTCTTGGCATTTTTGGGGAGGGGTCTCTTCTCCTGAAGGCGCCTTGAGCTGTGTCTTTATAAGCAAAGCAAAATCCTGCTGATACGCCAGTGTAATCTTGAGGAAAAATAATCAATAAATCAGGTTTGGAGCCGGATTCGCAGTAAATCTCAGGCTCCAGCAAAATAAAAATAAAAAGTGTTCTTGTGATTTTAACACACACTGAGATATATACAGTTTTTTTTTATAGATTTGTAGTCATCCTTTCCAAGCCCTCATGCTATACCCCCAAGTCTGTAGGAACCGAGGTGAGTGTTAATTTCCCCGTCTGTGGAAAATAATTATTTTTTTAAAAAAAAACAGTTCTTCCCACAATGTAGATGTCCTTTTCTTTCTTTCTTTTTTCTCTCCTCCTCCTCCTCTTCCCTCCACTCTTCTTTTAATTTTGTGTATCATATTTAAAACAAAAACAAAAATGCAAAACCTGTGGACATACCTTCTTTTTTTTCTAAAGACAGAAACTGTGGAACTAAAGTGACTTAACTCCATTTTTATAAAGGGAAACCATGACATCTTATTTGTAAACATCTTTCCTTTTTTTGCTCCCCTGAAAATTTGGGTGGGGGGTTGAAGGTTTAAGTTGGGGAAAGCCTACTGCACGGAAAGGAATAGCAATCCAGCCTGTTGAGTTGATTGGGGTTGAAGGAAGTTAATCTCTCCTGGTCTTGCCTTGAGAGAGGAGAAGCTGTTAAGACAAGAAAGGATGGGGGTGGATTTCTAAAATCTGGCTGGAAATTGTGTAGATCTTGGTGGAAGAAGAAAAGGTACAAGCATCCGTCTCAATATAGGAACCTTTTTGAATCCAGTAGATGGAAATATTTGTAGCTCAGGTTTGAACTGTGGCATCCTTGGTGCTCACTGGGCTTGGTGGCTTTTTTGCAGACGTTTCATGACCCAACTAGGTATCATCATCAGGGCAGTTCCAGGTCCACCAAGGACTCTCCTTCCTGAATCCTTACTTTCTATTTGCAAGAGGCTGGAATTGTATTTTCCTTCTCTGTTGTTTTTAAAGGAAACAACAAGTAATGCAACCAGGGAGGGAGAGGAAGTTAAGTTTCTGTTTAGTTCATCATATCTCTTGCATGAGAGGAAGTTGGAGACTGGTTTCAGAAGTTGCATGATCTGTTTAAGATTTTGTGCATTGCTCTCTGTCAAAGATAACGTGTACAAAGCAGATATTGGGCCAGGATGAGCTGTTTCCAGTCGCTTTGTACAAAGGAGATGTTTATTATTTGTTGTATACAACCATGCACTGAATAAACAAATTTATATTAAGGTGTCCATTCTAAAAAAAAAAAAAAAGCAAAGAATAACAAAGTAGCTTGTGGATTTCATTCAGGTCCTGGGCTTTTTACCTGGAGATAAAAAAAGCAGCCTTGTAAGTTACACAACTTCCATCTCAAACTTTCATTGCTTCTCAAGTGCTTCTCCTGGGGTCTTTCATGACACTAATACCCTCTTTCCCCAAATATAAGATCCAACTGGAAAACAAGCCCTAGCATGGTTTTTCAGGATGCTCATAATATAAGCTCTATCCCAAATATAAGCCCCAGTTAAGATTGTCAACCTGACGGATGCATTTAGTACTGTATTTCCCCAAAAAAACAAGATCTAACCATAAAATAAGCCCCAATGCATCATATGGAGCAAAAATTAATATAAGACCCAGTCTTACTTTCGGGGAAACATGGTAGAAAGCTCTAGGGCAGAAGGTCTGCAGATGAATTCCATCCCCAACATCTCCAAGTAGAACTGGAAAAACACCTGAGAAGGCTTTGCACAGCCTCTTGGTAAGTCAGTGTCAATAACCATGGGGGGACATATCGTAAGGGAGGGGGGCTTTCATTTTAAGGTAACTTTTAGGGGGAAAGCTGTTCCTCAGGTGTGAATAGATGACAGGTGGAGAACCTCCCAAAAGGAAAGCTGCTCATGCCAAATCCCCATTTTTCATCAGCTCCGAAGGAGAAGTTTCCATGAATACTAAAAACCACACTTAAGAGTAGGCTGGAGAGCTTTCAAGAGTCACGGATGCAGAACGGAGAAGAAGCCAAGTTCTTTCTCATTCCTTGGCCACCAACTTCCAAGAACATCTTCCTGCTCGCTGGAACAAGTTGCTCTTCAAACAAGCTTCACGCTTTCGGCGATGAGAGCAAAACGTGGCCTCCTGCAATCAGAAGCCATGAGTCACTTTTGGGGGGAGGGGAGAACTGAGAAAGATTAATCGCTTTATTCTCTTGCCTTTTGAGAGAGGGGAAAAAATCCTGCACAAGTCAACATCAATCAATATCTCATCAGGAGCCCAGCATATGTTTTGCAAAGTATGGCTGGCTTTCCTTTTCAACCACTGACATTTAGTTAATTTTAGTTAAATTCATCGTGTTCCTTCAAAGAGCCTTCCCCCAAGTTAGATGTGTTAGGCTATGGTGAGCACCATTCCCACCCAGCAGGCTAACATCATTCTGGGAGTTATAGTCCATCCCATTCACAGGTGATTTGGGAGAAGGTTTATAGTAAGAGTGGCATGAAGAACTTTTATGGAGATTCTCAATCATCCAGGCCATGGTTGTCCCAAAGATCCTTTTTTTCCCAAAAGGCAACTGGACTTTCTTAGTTTTATTCCTTGAAAACATTTCACTTCTCATCCAAAAAGCTCAGCATTGAAGAAGGGAAAAGAAACCCAAGAAAGTCCTGTTGATTTGGAAAAAAAGAACCTTTGGGACATGAATAACTTCCTTTAAAAATGACGAGGGGAAAATGATTGTTAGGGCTCTGACAAATTCATCCCCATTCAAATCATAAGTCTCTAGCCACATCTCTCAGAATAAAGATTGATTTATTAGGAGTTATCATGCCGGCGTTACCTGGGTGCAGCTGACACTAAGACACATCATTCATTTCCTCCTTGACCCTGGTCTTCCTCCCACCTCCTGGATGTAAATATATTCTCCAATGGGACACATCCATAGCCAAGAGTCATCAATCATGCTCTCCAGTAATAATCTTGCGTGCCAACAGCTTCGGCTGCCTAGCAATTATCTGAAGCATTTAAGGAATGCACTACTTTCCCCACTCCCTTTCTGATGGCAACTAAAAAGACCAAAGAAGTATTTTTAGTTGACACTGATATCTTAAAGCTTAGGACTTTTTAGAAGGAAGAATTTTTGGTTCTTGAGCTCTAGAATGAAGTCCTGATAATAGTAGATATTCTCCTTGTTCTGCCTACCTCCTATTCGAGCCTTATTAGCAAGTAACTCTTCCTAATCAATTTTGGCCGATTCTCTCCACCCACACAAAATAATAAAAAAAATGTATTAGCTAGTTGAAAACTCTCCAAAACTCATGAAAAACTCCTATGTATTGTCCCAAAAAACTACATAGATACACAAATACAGTCGGCAGATGAGCTGAATCTACAGAGAGCACAATTTATTCGTGGTATTATTTGTTAGAGTTCTTACATCCACTGAGCTCAACTATATTCTTCCCCCATTACCTTTGTCTCCTACCTACAGAAGTAAGCGAAGACTTAGGGGGTCTTCAAGAAAATATTAGAAGGTGGCAAATATTTGTTTGCATTGAGTGGAAATTTCACTGCATCTCACACATTTTGATGGTGGAAAAGCAGATCGGTTGTTGAGCATGCCAGAACATCTCAAGAAGGACTCTGGTAGAATCTTTGACACGTGACAGCAATTCAAGTCATATTCATGCACAAAGTGGCAGTTAAGCTGGAAGGCTCTTGAGACAAGCTACAACCAGCCTCTTATTTAAAACTCAAAGGTTGGCAAAGATTCAAAGAGATGGTTCTTCCACAAGCTAGTTGATTACAGACGCAGGAAAAGCCCTAATTAGAAGCAGAAAATTGCACACTTGTAAATCTTAGAGGTAGCAATATCCCAGATTTCACTTCCTACCTCTCCTTTGGCTTGTGTCCCCTAACCAACTAGGAGCAGGTTACTTCTCAGTGGTAAGAGATAAAGGACTTCTGTGCATTTTTTTTTTTTAGCAGATCTGCCAAGTTGCAGGACCTCTGTCTCTGATCTTCCAATGCACAGAGAAGGTTCTTCTGGCTGTGGCATTTGTGGGTTTGAGGGGATCAAAAAAATCTGGGATCTACCACGTATAATGAAGTCCCAGACTGATTGTCCAGTGTTTAGTGAGCTAGCAATACTAATTCATACAAAGGTTAAGGTGACCAAACAATCATTCCAATAAGATGTTTTTAAGACAAGACGAGACAGTCACTGATCTGAAATAGTATAGGGTCTCCTGCTTGAGCAAGGGGCTGGACTGGAAGACCTCCAAGGTCCCTTCCAGCTCATTCTATTCTATTCTATTCTATTCTATTCTATTCTATCTATGGTAAGTACTTTTGTGTCCAAATGTGAAGCTTCTAAAGGCATTGCAAATCAGTGAGCTTCTAGTTTCCTTTCTTTTGATGAAGGAAAGGAGCAGATGAGCAAGCTTAAATCTGGATAATATTTACACCTTAGGGACTCGTCTCTTATATAGTGCAGGAAATCCACAGCTGGTGAAAGAGCTGGAAGTTGCATACCTACACAATGCTAAGCTTGGT